TGCTAATTGCTATGTGTGTGAACTTCGTGGAAATTGCGGCTGGGAATGGAAACCTTTGACTTATATAATCTTGCTTGTGGTATCTTTAAAAAGCAAACCTACATGATTCCTAATGACATTATTAATGTCACAGTGGGACTTACTTCAGAGTAAGGACTGGACCGCATACATCCCTTTCTGCACACACAGGCCTGGATTAACCTTTAAGCAAAATAAGCACAAGCTTAGGGCATCAAAGGAATGGGGGAGTGGGGCACCACAGAAATTTACCATTGCTGGATTTTTAACATTAATGGTCATAAATTGCTCAGCTGAGCATTCATTTTCTCAGTTGAAGTATATTAAAAATCCCAACAGAACAACTATGCAACAAGGCAGGCTGGATGCCTTATCTCTACTGAGCATAGAAGCAGATCTGTTACAGAAGATTGTTTTTTTGAGGATCTGATCAAAGACTTTGCAATTAGAAAATGTAGGAGAAAATTTTTCAAATATAAGTAAAGTGGAAATATACAAATATAAACATTACTGTCCATCTTACTATAGGTTTTGTTTCATTTCAAAAATTGAAAATTCATTTTATGGTTTATGATTGTTTATATTTTGAATTAGATATATTTGGGGCACCAAAATCTTTAAAGTGTTTTGGGCCTCTAAAGATCTTAATCTGGCCCTGTGCATGCATGTGCAATTGTGCATGGCTAGTGGAGTGGATAGTAGATAACAGATAGTTCAGGCAGATAGTAGATAGCTCAGGCGAAACAGGGCACTGGCTCAGTATGGTTCAGATAGCCTCAGGTCAGATCAGGTCATTCCACAGAAGATGCATTGGCAAAGCAATCCGCAGTAGGATTGCATACTCCACTCACTAGGTTGTGAGCCAGTGGCTCAATCCTGCTGCCTACAGAGATTTCCAGTCACCAGCTGGTGAACAGAGGGTCCAGTCCTGCTGGCTGCAGTGTGGCAGTGAGAGGGGGAAGGAGATATTGATTAAACAAGGGTCTGGGAGGAGGCAGGGGAAATCCCCCCCCGCCCCAAATCAATTTCGGCTCTAGAAATTGGACTGAGGAGCATGCATAGCCCTAATGGATAGAGAGAGAGAGAGAGAGAGAGAGAGAGAGAGAGAGAGAATAGATAATGTTCTACATCAGCCATCCCTGAACTGGTGACCAGATGTTTTGGACTTCAATTAGCCCTAGCTAGCACTGCCCTTCCAGCTGTGGCTATTGTAGTTCAAAACATCTGGAAGGCACAAGGTTGGGGGAACCTCTCCTGTTTGGTCGTGTATGTGCCTCCCTCAAGCTTCCTATTCATTAAGCCAAAGGACCAAGTTCATTACAGCTAAAATGAACAGATTATATATAATAAGCACCACCCCAGCATTTCTGGCTAAGGGCTTCAGTGCAGCACCAGACTGGAAGAGTAGGTATCTCCTGTGTGGACATGCCCAAACTAAGTGCACCTCCCTTACCAAATGCAACATCTCAATTTCTTCTGTAAGAAGAGCCTCGCTGGATCAGGCGAACAGCATCTTGTACCCACAGTGGGCAAACAGAGGCCCATGGGAAGCCCATAAGCAGGATTTGAGCACAACAGCACTCTCCCTTTCTGTGGTTTTCCAGCAACTGGTATGCAGAAGCATACTACCGCTGACAGTGGAAGCAGACAGTAATCGCTATATCCTCAATGAATTTGTCAAATCCACTTTTAATGTCATCCAATTTGGTGGCCATCACTGCCTCCCACAGAAGTGAATTCCATAGTTTAACTAGGCGCTGTGTGAAGAAGTACTTTCTTTTGTCTGTCCATCTTTCCTAAGGGCACACTGAGGTAGGTAGGTGTTTATGAGACCGGTATGGGGTACTACCACTTCGGTTATAGGCAGAAGCTCAGTGTTTTAAATCATGGCAGCAGTGACGGGGCGTGGGGTGGAGCTTCATTTGTGGATTTTTGCCATGCAAAAGCATGAGCCTCTGCCCTCTAAGAGGAAAAAAGAAACATAGCAACCTTGGCAGCTCTTGAGTAAGACTTTTATTCACTTGCACAATCTATTTAAACTTGAGCACATCTGATTCCTGCTAAATTCAGAGAGTGATGAGCATATACTTGATTATTCCATTGACACCCATGAGGTGTGTTTTAGATTGCACCCATGTAATATGCAAAATATGGGGAAGAAGGGTGATGTTACTCTGCACAGCAGGGACTTGGAACTTGTACCATCTTGGTGCTGTTGGGCTTCAGATCCCATTATCTCTGATCATTAGTCAAGCTGGGGTTGATGGAAGCTGGAGTCAATAATGTCTAGAGGATGGTAGGTTTTGTCAGATGTTCCTGTGTATCACAAGCATACTCATGCTCCAAGTGTGAATCCTTATGTAGCAAAAACAGTGCCACTCACACAGAAGGAGGAGCAGGCTCAAGAGAGTCCCAATGTTTGCAGAAAGTTTTTTTTAAAACCAATCAGCATATGCAAGTTTGTGCCCTGTAGGCCTGGGATTCCTCCCTTTTCAGCCACCAGCTAGCAATGTCTCTGAAAGACAGCATACAGAAAGTGTAGTGTAATGGTCAGAGTTTTAAAATAGGACCTGGGGGACCATGGTTTGAATTCCCACTCAGTCATGAAGCTCACTGGGTGACCTTGGGCCAGTCATATTCTCTCAACCTAACCTACCTAAGTGGGTTGTGGTGATGATAAAATGGAGAGGAGGAAAACAATATGAAGGAAAACCTTCAGCTCCTTGGAGGAAAAAGTGGTATATAAATGGGAGAATAAGAAAGAAATAACTTTTCGAGGATGGAAGCAACCACTTTCTAACTTTCTCTGACAGCTATCAGCTTTCATATGCTGTGAAATCAGCATATGAGTCCAGTGCCCCATGGCTCATTTTTAAAAGTTCTGTTTTGATTATCTGGACTTATTAGCAGGAATGATAGACTTGGGGGGACAGGGAGACATACTTAAATGATTTATTTGTTTTATTAAAACTTATATACCACTTGATTGTAAAAATATTCCTCAAAGAAGTTTACCAAAAGAGTTAAAAACAATTACCAAAAGAGTTTAAAACAAATATAAAACGTGCACAAAATGCAATCAAAATAATTAAAATTTTTAATTTTAGCAGGTTAAATGTTAACATTCTACATATATTTTTAGAAGGTGCTAAAAAGAGTACACTGATATATAAATAGGCAGGGAGTTCCAAAAGATGCCTGCATGCCACATATTTGTCATCTACAAAAGCTTGTGTCATAATACATTTTTTTATTCTTTATTCTGCTACAATACTCTTTCTTGCATTTTCACTCTATCAAGAGTGGTCCAAATCATGGGGAGGGGTTCATAGTTCAGTGGCAGTGCATCTGCCTTGCAGGCAGATGGTCCCAGGTTCATTCCCCAGCATCTCCAGGTAGGGCTGGGAATGAAACCCCTGAAGAACTGCTTTCAGGCTGTGTTGACAGTTCTGGAGTCAGACAGGCCAAGGACTCTGATTCAGTACAAGTCAGCTTCCTATGTTTCTATACATCAGGGGAAGATAACCTTTGGTGCTCTTTATTTTGCTGGACTCCAACTCCCACCAGTCCCCAGCCCGCATATTCAATGGTCAGGGATGATGGGTGTTGTAGTCCAACAACTTTCCCCCTAACCCTGTTAAGCATTAAGAGGGGTGGAAGGAAGATACCAACAATAGTAGCATGGCAATTGAAAATGATGGACTATGCAGAAATGGCAAAACTTACAGAAAAGCTCAGAGACAATGACACTGTGAAATTTAAAAAAGAATGGGAGGCATTTATTGCATATGTACAAAAATATTGCAAACAAGTAGAAACAATGGCAGGCTTTGATTAAACACTTGCAAGCAATTAAAATAAGATAAAGTTTATGGAAGGAAATTTGAACTGAAACAATAAAAACTGATGGTATGTAATATATTCAATGAACCAGGAAAGGAAATGGAAGGAAGTCAGGAGGTTATAGAGAACCTCCGAAAACATGTTTTTAAATTTTTATTTGAGTTCTTATATTCCATGTTGGATATTTTGTATTTCTCTTTTTATTTGATGGAAAACAATTGTTGAATTTGAAATTGTAAAACCAGTAAAAATTTATTTACAAAAAAAAATAATTAAAGGTTTCAGAGGGCTTGTGGTACTTTAAAGTTAATGCACATCAGGGATTGGACAGGAATGGTTTCTGAGCAGACATGGCAGATGTTTATAGGATTGCCCTCAAGGTGTCTGATGCCAGAAAGGTCCCCACCCACCTGCTCAAAAAAAGGTAAAGGTAGCCCTGCCCGTACGGGCCAGTCTTGACAGACTCTAGGGTTGTGCGCCCATCTCACTCAAGAGGCCGGGGGCCAGCGCTGTCCGGAGACACTTCCGGGTCACGTGGCCAGCGTGACAAAGCCGCATCTGGCGAGCCTGCGCAGCACACGGAAACGCCGTTTACCTTTCCGCTATAAAGCGGTCCCTATTTATCTACTTGCACCCGGGGGTGCTTTCGAACTGCTAGGTTGGCAGGCGCTGGGACCGAGCAACGGGAGCACACCCCGCCGCGGGGATTCGAACCGCCGACCTTTTGATCGGCAAGCCCACCTGCTTACTTCACTCTAAATAGAAGACTAGTCAGAGACAGGAAGCCAGACCTCCTCCTCTCCTCTCCCCCTGCTTATTTCCAGAAAGTTGAATAAGGTGGAAGGAAATTGTGTGGACCAGGGCCTGGGAGACTGGGGTTCAAATCTCCACTCAACCATGAAGCTTACTGGTAACACTGGGCCGCGCATTGTCCCTCAGGCAAAACAGCCTAACATGTTGTTATGAAGATAAAATGGAGAGCGCCACCTTGAGCTCCTAGAAGTCATAAGTGTAGTACTAATTTTTTTTTTAAAGAAACAACCTTAAAAGAAGCCTGTCAAGCGATCCCAGTGGCAGGAAGAAGGGGTGGGAAGTTTCTCAACAGCCAGCGAGTAGCAGCTGTGAGGCCAGACTGCGTTGCTTTCCGACGGGAGCCCCGGGACAACCGGCTGCTTCTGAGGAACCAGCCTTACAGATTAAGGCTTCCCGCGTTCTCAAATTCACACGCATGTGCCCCCCTCCCTCCCGACTCGTGTGAATCTTTGAGGATAGCGGCGGCAGCGGCAATTGCTCCACGCTTCTTGTTCGACGTGTCCCCGCAAGCCCAGAGCAGCCTCTTTCGCTCTCCGGTTTCTCCCGCAACTTCAATGCGTATTGCGCGTCAGTTTGGCCTGGGGAAAAACGCGTGACAAGGAAAAGGAGGTGGAGAAAAATAATAGTACTTTTTTTAAAAAAAAAGTTAAAGCACGTTTTGCAAAGCAGTGAAAAGTAGATTCGGCTAGGAGAAGGAGGAAGGGTGTGTAGCTGTCTGTGTTAGTGTTCGGGTTGCGGAAACTGCCCTCTGCATTCGGATTCCTTTTTGGAGCGGCGGGGAGAGAACAGCCGCGCTTGGGGAACGGAGGAAATTCCCTCCGCTACGAGGCGGCGGCGGCTGCAGCAGCAGCGGCGGCGGCGAAACCAGACGGCCGCTGCGGGGACGCCGCTAGAGCCTGCTTCTCTGGAATGAGGAACCAGCTGGCGCCTTCCTTGACACCAGCCTCGGCAGGCCGCGCCAGAACCGCGTGCGGAGGAGCCGCGCAAAACTTGACAAGGTAAAACCACACGGGGAACTTCGAGTCGTTGCGAGCTCCAGACTTCGTGCGAGGGGCAACGCGCATTGCTTCCCATCATGCGAAATGCTGCGAGGCAGACCAGTTCTTTTTGGCCCCTGCAGAGTCGGGGCCCGTGAACGTCTGCCCTTAAATCCTGACCTGGTGGCGCCACTGGAGCCGCGGCGGGAGCGGGAGGGGTTCGCTTTCTCTTGGTTGTCTGAAGGGGTGGGTTACCTCTAGACTTTGAAAAGAACAGTTAATTTTCTCTCTCTCTTTCCCCCCCCCCCCCGCGCCCCTAAGCTTCAATAGATCAAATGCCGTTTATATATCTATATAACCCAACGGGTTTATTTCATAAGGGCTGGGGAAAGAGTTCTCTGGCTGAAGATCCCTGGGGTGACAGCCCCACAGAACTCATGCAGGCTTAAGCCCCGGATCCACTGAGTGATTTATGTGAAAGACCCATCGGTGCAGTGGAACTGACTCCTGAGCATGTATAGGACCGGGAGGTTGTGTAGGCTGCAGAGGTCAGACTTATTAAACTTCATTAGGCTTTCAGTAATCTCAATTTTTTTCAGGCACAGCATGGCCCACCTTAACAACAACAACAACAACAACAACAACAACAACAATAATAATATGCATTTAAGGACCTATTTCTTCTTCTTTATATGGTAATGGTACTGCTGTTGTTGTGACCACCTTAGATCAAGTCCTGGAGGACCAGTACCTCCCCCCCAGCCCGGCCCACCCATCTTCTATGCTATTGTCAGCCCTATTGGATCCAAGTAAACATGTATAGGATCAAGTTGCAAGCTCATACATACACCTGTGGCATTTAACTCAGTGGGATTGACTTCTGAGCCAACCTTCATATGATTAGGAGGTAGACCTAATGAGATCAATTAATCCCTAACTTTGGGCGTTGTGTGCCATAAATTTTGAGTAAGCCCTATTGACCATAAGTGGGATGTGCTTCTGAGTAAACTTGCTATGAAGACTGAACTATAAACACACTGGCTGGTGAGTCCTGTTTACTTTTTAGCAAACATGCTTAAAGTTCTGGTGTTATCTAGCTGGGAACCTCTCAAAACCCCCCCCCCCCCCCAATTTAAGGGCAGATGGACAGAAGGGCAGCTGCTGCAGATGGAATGTGTGTATGCAGTTTTGGCTGTCTCTTTTTAAAAAGCACCTGGAAGCACCTTATTTGAATATCTGCTAGCTCCTCCCTCCCACCATCTGAAAACTTATCAGATGCAGACCTAGATGGCTTGATTTAACATCAACATCCTTTTCTCTTTCTCTCACCCATCCCAGCTTTTTAAACATCCACTCCTGATGAAGGGTTCTGTGGAAGTCAAAGGTTTGGTGACATTTTGCTTGGCCTAATAAAAGTATTGACATAATAAGGGTTTGGGAATTTTTCTAACATGCCAAAACAGCTAGCACTGATCTTTAAAAGTGAGTGTCTGTTTTGCTTCATAATCAATGCATTGCCTTGTGGCACATCCAAAGTGGACAAGTTCATTGTAAGTTCATTTTTTCAGTTTGTGTTAATTTTTATTAATTAGCTCCCAACTTTGAACATCAACTGACAGCTAGTACAGGGCATGCACCACTACTCCCAGTACTCCTTCCTGCATTCCATTATTGACTTGTGAAATTTTCTGCTGCAATTGGTGGCAATGACTACAGACTGGGGATGCTCCCATCAGCTCCATCCAGCATGTTCAGTGGTAAGCAATGATGAGAACTATAGTCCAGAAAAAAACTAGAGGATGCCATGTTGGCTATCCCCTGCTTTAGGCTGAGAGGTCTTTCTTTAAGGGTTTTTACAAATTTGTGCAGCAGGTGATTTTTATCACTGGCTGTTAACCATAATGTCTAAATGGAGCCATTCTGTTGAGAGGCAGTCTACCTCTCAATAACAGTTGTTAATGGGCTAATGGTAGAAGAGGACTGTCTTTTTCCCTTCATCCTTTAAGCTTGTGGGCTTCCCAGCAGCATCTGGCTTGCCACTGTGAGAAACAGAATGCAGGTCTAGGAACACAACTGGTCTGACAAAGTCAGCGGGTAGTTCATTTACTTATCTGCCTTTTGTTTCTCCCTCACTTACATCTATGTGCATGTAAAGCCTTCTACACAGGGATGGCAGATGAAATGTATCCAGAAACTTGATTTTGAATAAATGTGCAATTAATTGTTCCCTTTTTGAATGTTATTCTGTTGTTATCTTCCTTAGTGGGATGTGCAAATCGCTATTATAAATAATGTTTTTTGTAGGGTGGGGGTCATTGAGGATTAATTTATGGAATCAAGGGGCAATGGTTTTTGGGAACAATCATATGCATGTTTACTCAGGAATGCGTCCCACTTTGTTCAGTGGGACTTCCTCTCAGGTAAGCGTGGATAAGATTTGAGCTTAAATGATGAAGAGGCAGAAACTCGAGTCACGCTCCAATGGAATGTCAGTTTTGCAAATGGCCAGACTCTTAGGGTGACTGAAGGCTATGTTTGCAATACCCATGTCAGTAATTCTCAGTTAAAAACAGGCCTCTTCCTCTCTATATGCAGCACTGATGACATTCATACATTTTCAGATTACTGTATAAGGGAGAGGCTCCACCTTTTTCATGTCTGATTTTCTGTGTGAAAATGGTCCAGATCTAAATGCTGAAGATTTTTGCTCTCACTGAGTATATATTAGAGTACTACAAGTATTCTAAGCCCTTATAGATCAGATGATAACACACAGTGAATATATATTTAATGTATTTTGATTTGCAGGTGTGTGACTTAATGGTCTTTGAGGTTTTGTGGTTACCTGACTGTACTCCAAGCATAACAAACCAGGCCTTGCACTTTTATACAGTGGGAATATGCTGCTTTGGAGCACTTAAAATATATAGAGATTTATATACATGTGGCTCAAGGAACCAACAAGTGAAAGCAATCCTGCCTCTTACTTTCACCTAATAATATGGTGTACCTTTTACAGTCACGTAATAATACATCACATAATAGGCTGTTCTGGTGAGCAAAGTGTAAAATTAGGTTGTCTCAGTACACCTTATTCTATAATATACCACAAACTGGAGAATCTGCCTGCTTTCTCCTGCTAAACTATGTTGCTGGTGCAGAGTTCTCTTCCAGAGCTGTGAGGGATGTGAAAGTTACATAAGAGCAGCCTTCCCCAGACTGGTGCCTCCAGACATTTTGGACTATGACTCCCATCAGTCCCAGTGGTGTCTGGGAGGTGTCCTGGTGTCTGGAGGACACCAGGTTGGGGGAGGCTGTAAAGTGTGTTCCCTGATGAAGCCTACCAAATGTCACCTTTCCCCAAGGACTTGCGAGGTGAATCTGATGCTGTATCCCCTTCTTTAGAACCTTTGGGCATCTTCTACACCATCCTGTTTTGGGGAACTGCATTTGCCTAACATTTTACATTTGCCTCTCGTTTTTCAGAGCATCTTGAAATATTACTATAGAGACATGCAGGTTCCTTGCGATCCTATGTCCACTGTAATTGTCTCTGTAATTCTTTTAGACTTTCTGGGCATCTGTGCCGCAGGCGGCAATTCCCCCAGCGAATGCAGCCACCATGTTGCTTGTGTGCAGTGACACTCGGTTGTTGCTCTGCTGTGCTTAGGTAATATAGCTGCTCATTTGCAATTGCTCTGGCTTGACCCCTTCTGAATTGTGTATCCGTTGCCCTGGGACTTGATTATGAGCCCTCTGGAAGCCAAGCGCTTAACTGACAGGAGCCCTCCTTCCAAGGTGGGAACGTATAGTATACCCTGCACTGGTATGGTTAGCATTCCTCCATTTAGCTTATTGTAGTTCACGAAACCTTGTCCAATTCCTTCTGCAGTGATGATGCTTCCATCTGCTAGATTGGGTTTTTTCTTTACTGTTAAGGTCTAACTCTGTAAGGAAGCTTCTGTTAATGGCCATGTGACTTGTTGCTCTAGTCCAGAGTCCGCACATGAGCTGTGGGATAAGTTTCCTTGTGTGGCTTTGAAGCACGCACTTCATTGCTGTTATGACTTTCTTACCTTATCTTAATAATTGCTGTTACCTTATCTTAATAATTGCTGTTATGACTTTCTTACCTTATCTCTCTGCCTTGTTTTTTGTGCAGTACTATTTTTGTTAATACTGTTGTTAGCACAATTCACCCTCCTCTTTTTTCTTTTTAAAGTTCACTTCATTCCCCCCTCTCTCTTTCCTCTTTCCTTGCTAGATTTACAAATGAAAAAATTAATTAAAAAAGTTAAACTGCAAACCCGAAATTGTTTTTATTTAATTATGTTTTGATAGGCACATTGGTGGAAGACACGGGTATAACCGGCTACCAGCTGTGATGGCTATGTAATTCCTCCACTGTCAGAGGCATTATGCTTCACAATACCAGTTGCTGGGAACCACAGGAGTGAAGAGTGCTCTTGTGCTCAAACAATCCTTGTAGATTTCCCACATGCATCTAGTTTGCTAATGTGCAAACAGGATTCTGGACTAGATGGACCATTCGGCTGATCCAGCAAGCTCTTCTTATGTTTTCAGGCTTTTGCTGTTTTGCTTTCCGTATGAAGCAGCCCCTTGTGGGTTCATCTACACTTCTGTTTGCTCTACAATTTCTAGACACTGGTCAGAGAGGTTTTTTCTTTTGTCCTGCTGCTTTTCCTGGGAAAACCCGCTGTTTACTACTGAATCGCAACAAATGTCAGTTCAGTTTTCTATAGATTGACATGTGGTCTGATTCAGCAGTAATCAGCAGGGTTTTCCCGGGAAAAGCAGCAGGACGAAAGAAAAACCTCTCAGACTCGTGCCTAGAAATCAAGGGGCAAAGAGAATAAACTGGGACAAAGGGAAGTGTGGTTGAACCCTAAGTGTCCTTTAAGTGTTCCTTAAGTGTTGTTTCCTTCTTCTGCATCTTGCGGTCAGTGCTTCGTAGCAAAGCTTCCCTATCCCGGTGCTGACTTCCCTGTATAATCTCCTTCATGCCCTGGAATCCATCCATTAGTCGACCCACCACAAACTCAGGGTGAGTTGCTTTTCAGGCCTCGTTTCTAAGGCATTCACGAGGGCAGCCTACACATGAGTAAAGCTGCCACATGGTTGTCCTTCATGTTCCCCCACCCCATGCCAAATAGTTTCCCCACCGCTTCCAACTTTGTGCTTTTGTGGTCTTGTATCTCAACTCCATCCCAAGTCTTCTGCTGTATGGGAAAGACCCTTTTTAAAAAGAAGAAGAAGAAAAGGTATTTTCATGATTTATTTGCCAGCCCCCTTTTAATGTTTCTTCCTAATGGTCTTTGGATGCTGACCTCCTCTGCTGTGGTTTTAATGAGAATAATGTGAGTTCTGAAGTCTGTTCTGTTTTTCATGGTGGATGTGGTTTTATTCTGCTGTTTATGTCTTTTTCCTCTCTGCATTTTTTATTTATGTTGTTTTTTAATTGAATTTATTGAATTGCTTGCGATAAGGCAGGGTAAACACCTTTTAAATAAAAGCAAGCAAGCAAGAGGTCTCTCTAAGGTGAAGAAGCAGTAACAACAACAAAAACCATTCCAGCAATCCTTCATCTTTATCTCATATCTTTTTGTCTGGCTAACAGCCAAATAATCAAAGGAAGAATTTTGCAAACTGTTGCCCATGGACTGCTTGTGGTCCAATTGTTACACAGTTAGGAGTATCTGTTCTTGATGCCACAAATGATTGCTGAATATCAATTTCAGGAGATCAAGGCTGCTTTGATTGGGGCTGAATTATTAGAAAGGCCTCTCACCTGGGGCCTGTGATTGTCGTAATATTTTAATTTTAATTTTAATATAACCCAGAAGTGCATTTATATACCTCTGAACATCAAAAGCATCTCCAAGTGGTTTGCAACAACAAAAGTGTGTGTACACACACACACACACACACACACACACACACACAGGAACTAAAAACCCCAGTACCAAATAAATCAATAAAATTCCCCAAAAGCAAGAACAGCAGCCTATTTCGAAAACATTTTGAGTCAGAGATCTTTTATCTCTTCACTCTCCCTTTGCAAAGGCAAATCCTGACTCACATTATGCATCATTCACCCCACCAACAGATACATATCACACCCAGATTCTCCCTTACATGTCCTCCCAACTACTTTTCTCACTACGTAAACAAATCTTGCAGTACCACTACTCATCGAGCATCACTCATTTCATTCCGCTCCCACACCTCTTGCTAACATCCCTCCCCCGTCACTCTAAAATCTCCCTGTGAATCAGGAAACCACTCTCACCAATGACATCCACTACATTGGAAAGGCAAGACTGTGCTTATAAAAATATCAGTTTTGCTTGCACTCTGACTGCACCAGCAAAGAATATATTTTTTATAACAATTTATTAATTTTCCAAAAATATAACATCAAAAATAAACATAACAACAACAATATATAAAGAAAAGGGAAAAAGAAAAAGAAAAATGTAAAAAACAAAACAACCCTCCCCATCAAAATCAAAAATTTTAAACCATAATTTTTGATTGACTTCCCTCCCCTCCCCCTCTTGGTTTCATTGCTTAATGCTTGTTCACGTACGTCCTTATAACCTTAATAATCCATTTTTTAGACCTTGTTCATCTTAATACAAGTGAGTTTTTAAAAGTTATACTAACGTAAAAATCCATATACAAAGCTTAAAAGATGAACATTAAACCTTTACCCTGAACACCAGCAAAGAAAAAGGTTTGATGAGACCTCCGTCAATTTTCAAGTGGTCGATGGGAGAAAAACACAATTTTCAAGTGGTCGATGGGAGAAAAACAAACAAACAATTGTGCTAAACCAAGGAGGAAACTGTTTCCCCCCTTCCTTCTTTCTTTCCCTTCCTTCTTGCATTTACTAGTCATATTTTCATGAAAAAATGTGATCAAAGCAACTTATAAAAATGCAATTAAAACCAAATTTAAGAAATAAAAAAGGGGGGGAGAGTAACACATCCATGCCTTTAAAATACCAGATGTAATATTTTAAATTTAGTGTGCAGCAGCTTATGGCATAGTAGAACTGGGCCCTTAATCATCTGTGTAGGGATAGAATTAAGTTGTGGCCCTTAGTTTGAGAATAGACAGTGTTACACATGGGGAACCAAAGGCTGCAGGTTCTTCATTTCTGGCTTAATAGAAGGATGAGGCACGGTGCAGAGTCAATACCAAGCAATTGTATAATAGCCCTTTCAATACATCACTGTATATGAAACAGGAAGGTGTGGATTGCACATAGGAAACCTACACACATTGCATTCAGCTGTATGCACATAGGACCTAGAATACAAAGCAATTCCATCCCTCCACCTGTTCACTTTTATTCTGCAAGACCACCAGTAGAAATATTTAGTTGGATAAAGAAAGATAGGTATTTGTCATGAAAAGCGTTGTACCTAGCTTATCTCTGAATGGACTGAATTTGTGGGTTTCAAGGAAGTGGGGTTATAGAAGTAGCACAGCAAGATTCTCTTACAAGCTCCTTCTCAGTTTGGGGGCACATAAAAGCTACTACAATTCCAATCTTGTTGTTACTTATCTGGCATTAGGCCCCCACTGAGCATACTTGGATTTGGGCTGCGCAAAACGGCTTTAGGCTTGCCTGCAGGATCATGTTATTTATATACGTATAAATACTGATTAATATATATATATATATAAAATATCTAAAGCAATGCATTGCATAAAACACAACCAAGACAATAAAGCAGTATAAAAGCAAACAATTTAGTGTTTATGTATCCAGTCTGATGTTTGCATGTGTAGGCAACATAGCTGTCAGGAAATGTGTGTTTGAAGAAATAGGTTTTAAGCATGCAGAAAAAAGATAGTATGGTTGCACAGGCCTGCTCTCCAAGGGGAAGTTGTTCCACATGGTCAGTGCCATTCCTGTAGAACAGTAGTTTTCAAGCTTTTCAGACCCAGGACCCATTTTTAACTCAAACATACACCTGGGGATCGCTTTCTGAATCTTTTACCATCTATTTGCCTGGTGGTAGAGCTCCTGTTGCGACCCACCTCGGACCATGTTGTGAGCCACTAGTGGGTCCTGATTCACTAGTGAAAGATGAGTGCTATCCTTCTGGATGGATAGAAGATGGAACACCACAGGCTGCAGACAGGTCCATTGGGGATAAGGCACTCTTTCAAATAAATTGTTGCCAAGCTGTTTAGGGCTTTATGAACTACAACAGTAAAGCCTTAAACCTAACTAAGTAGCCAGCCAGACAGTGCACCTTCCTCAGCAGATGTAATATATGCTCACACCACGGTGTGCCTCTCAGATGAAGAGCTACGCGGCTGCATTCTGCACTAGCTGCAGCTTCCAAACCGGGCTTAAGGGCTTCCCCACATAGAAAGCATTGCAGTAATCCAGTGTTAGTGTTTCATTGCATTGGGTTTTGAATAGTTTTGAATAGTTCATGCTGCAGCAATGTGAAAGGCAGGAGATAAATATTTTAAATAAATAAAGTAAACTTCATTTATTTAGGAGGCAGTGTGCCTCCGAACGTCAGTTGCTGAGGTTCACAGACAGCAAGAGTGCTCTTGATTCTGGTTGGCCACTGTGAGAGCAGGATGCTGGACTAGAAGGCCCCCCTGATCCATTAGGATTTTTCTTCTGTCCTAATGAAACCTCTTTTTTGTATTTCACATGGTACAAATGAAATTATTTTCTGTTTAATACCTTTTCTGTCATTTTTAATTCAAAAGGTCCTGGAGGAGTAATGTTTTCTAAAGAATATAAATACCCCTCTCAGGAGAAATATATCAGCCTTTTTCCTCCCAGAGGTTTGTCTATTGCTGTTTTTGAACACCGGTGCTGGCCTGCAAAGCAAATATTAGCACTAGACAGGGCTATGCTGATTCATGACTGTTTTAAAAACCTGAATGCTCCGTACAGTGGATTTGAACTTGCTCAGATGGTGTTTTTTTTGGAATGTTGGTTACTCCCATACCAGTACCTTGAATGACTAGCTTTGGGGGAAGGAGAGGAAAAAAATGCCAAGTTTATCTCAGTAAAACACTTATAACGTCTACAGCAGGAAAAACCTGGTGGCGCTTCTTGTTGGATGCAGTAAGCACAGTGGGTTTTGTTTTTGATTTTTTGGGAGTTGGTTTTACTGAAGGATGGTGATGAAAGTGGAGCCAGTCTGACCCAGTACCCAGTACAGGCAGCTCTCTATGGTGATGAAATTATAGTGGATAAACCTTCTA